CCGGGAGCGAGCCGAGAGCGGTGGGGTGGGCCGTGCGCGCGCTGTGCCCCCGCCGACGGTACCGAAGAGCGCACCGCCGCCCAAGACATACCCGCCCGCCCCGTGGACTCAGCGGCGGAGACGCCGACGGGCGACGCGGCCGCCAAGTCCGCGCCGGGCGAGCCGGTGCGGGGCAGGCGGAGCGGCGGCCAGCCGGTGACCGTCCGCTGCAGGGTCCGAAGCCGGACAAGGCGGAGAAGCCGGAGAAGCCGCCCAAAACGTCCGTGCTCGTGCGGCTGGGCCTGGGCCGGCTGTCGGGCGGCAGGTCCAAGCCGAAGGTGCCGCCCAACCGGAGAGCATCAAGCCGGCGTCTCGCTCGCCGTCGCCGCGTTCGCCACCGTCGGAGCTGCCCAGTCCGATCGCCTCGACGCCGAACGACGACTCGCGCCGCTCGGTGTCGCCGTTCGGTGCAGACGCGGCCACCTCCACGCCGGTAGCCGCACAGAGAACTCTCGCACCGGCGCCCGTTGTCCGGCAGCAGGCGGTTGAGGAGTCGCCGCCGCTGCCGCCGCCGCCGCCGGCGCCGGCTAAGGCGGAGTTCCGCGCGCCGCCCAGCCCCGTCGTACGGGCCAAGTCGCTGTCGCTGCCCAAGGCAGCGAACATTGCGCTGGACGCGGCAGGAACGGCCCCCGATCCCGCCGAGTCGGCCGCCGCCGGCCGGCCGGCCACCACCAAGCCGCCGCTGCCGCCGCAGGCGCTGCGCGTACAGACGCAGGCGGCGCGCGCCCGCTGACGAGCGCCCGGCGCAACTTCTTCCAGCTGGAGCAGCAGCGCGTGATCCCGCTGCGCTCGGTGCCCGCGGCGCCCATCCCCGACTCGGTGGCGGCGACGGCGCGGCCGGGCGGCGCCGCGGCCGAGATCAAAGACGCGTTCGAGCGGTTCCGGCAGCGCCGCGCGAGGATCGCGAGCGGCTGGCCAAGAGCACGCCCAACCTCAGCCTGATCGAGACGGCGACGCGGAGTCTGGTGCGGCCGCTGCCGCTGCCGCCGCCGCCGCCGCCGGCGCCCGCCCGGCCGCCTATTGATCGGCCGTCAGGCCGCGCCGAGCAGCGGTGCGCCGACCACGACGACGACCACTCGGTGACGCTCCAGGAGGAGGGCAATGTGGTCATTCTGCACGCGGCGGGCGGGCGCGCGCGGCGCGGCCCAGCAAGAGCCGGGACAGGTTCGCGCAGCGGCGTGCGGCCGCGCTGGCCCGGGCTCGCAGCCGGAGCGTGGGCGTGCTAGAGACCGACCTGGACTCGCCGTCGGCGGGCCAGCGGCCGCCGCCGGAGACGGACCTGGACGCCATCGTGCGCAGCCTGCAGGAGTGCATCGACGAGGCGTCTCCCAACAAGGAGAAGGCCAAGAGCCTGCTCAACCTGGACAAGAACATGGAGTTCACGCTGGCGCAGGGCGTCGACTCGCGCGCCAAGTCGATGGAGTTCCTGCTGGACGACGAGAACAAGAGCGCCGTGCAGGTGAGTGGACCGCCGCCCGACGGCGGCTGGGCTGCCGCAGACTCCGGCAGCGGGCGGCGATCGCCAGGCTGTCGATGGCCGCTGTCGATCAATGCTGTATGGTGTACCGATCTCTCGCGCCCTCTGTCCCTCACTGTCCTCTGTCTCCTGCGGCCCGCGCGGCGCCCTCGCCGCCCGACCGTGGTTTATTTGTTGTGTTATTTACGTCCTGGCGCGGGCTGAATGGAAGCCTCGGTTTAATTATTTATCTGCTCGGTCGAGGCCAGTCGTCGCCCTCTGCTCTATACACATACCGGCTGTGCACACATCCACCCTTGTTAGGCATCATTGTCCACACATTCGAGGTTTCCGTCCCTCATCCTTCCATTCTCCTCCTTCGTTTTCCCGGGCGGACCGTTGTTTGTCCCGTTCGCCATCAGTTACCATTTCTTCATTCTGTTGTCATCGCCCTCTCGCTCCCCGCTCCCAGCTGTTGTGCCACTTCCTCGCCACGCCGTCTTTTGGCCGGCACGGGATCCCTCGCATTCCCACACGCCGCGTTCATTACGGCCCGATCGCGTCCCCGCACCCCACCTTTCCGCCATCGCCGGCCTGATTAGACGACCACCGCCGCACACGGTCCCTCCGCAGAACGAGCGGGGTCGGCACGCGCCGCGCCCGTCTAATTAGCAGCCGATTATTCAGCCCCGCGCGCCGTTGGGCGCAGTCTGTGTCCGCGCCGCCGGCCCAGGCCGCGGGCGCGGGCGCAGCAACAAACCATTAACGTGGAGACGGCTCCAGGATGCCGGTAACTGCCTCGCACTCGGGTGGGGTGCGTTCGATAAGCCGGGAGCGCATCGTGCGAGTGTGCGGCGCTTGACCAGCCCGACCCGAGGCGCAGTCGACCGGTCCGGTCCGACCGGTCCGCTGCCCCCGTGCCGGCGGTCCGGGTCCCATTCAACCGGTGTTTTCATGTCGGCGGGGCGGGCGTGCGCCCGGCGTCTATTTTAGCCGCCCGCGTCGAACGCTGACGCGCCGTCAGTCATCACAGCCGCGGCCGGTGTCGGCCGCACCCCATCCGCAGCCGGGAGAACGGCGGCGGCCTCGGCTCGCTCACGGCTGCCGGCGGCCCGCCGAGCGCCCGCGCGGTCCGACGGTGCGGCGGCGGGACGGCGCGCCGGGGGTCGCTGCGCAGCCTGACGCTCACGACTGCCGGCGGCCCGCCGAGCGCTCGCGCGGTCCGACGGCGCGGCGGCGGGACGGCGCGCCGGGGGTCGCTGCGCAGCCTGACGCTCACGACTGCCGGCGGCCCGCCGAGCGCTCGCGCGGTCCGACGGCGCGGCGGCGGGACGGCGCGCCGGGGGTCGCTGCGCAGCCTGACGCTCACGACTGCCGGCGGCCCGCCGAGCGCCCGCGCGGTCCGACGGCGCGGCGGCGGGACGGCGCGCCGGGGGTCGCTGCGCAGCCTGACGCTCACGACTGCCGGCGCGGCCCGCCGAGCGCTCGCGCGGTCCGACGGCGCGGCGGCGGGACGGCGCGCCGGGGGTCGGAGCGCAGCCTGACGCTCACGGCTGCCGGCGGCCCGCCGAGCGCCCGCGCGGTCCGACGGCGCGGCGGCGGGACGGCGCGCCAGGGGTCGCTGCGCAGCCTGACGCGGCGGAATCCCGCGGTGGCCGGTGACGCTGGCGAAGGCTGAGTCGTGTGGCTTTAGGCACGCGGCAGCGGCGGCGCGCGTCTCTAAGGACCGGACCGGACGCCGACACGTGGGCGGTGGCGCGGCGCGGAGGGAGGGGCGACGCGCACGTGCCGGCCGCCGGCGGCGGTCGCGAGCCTCTCCGGCCCTCGGCGTTCTCCCCGGGGCGGCCGATCAATGGACGGCCTTGTCAGGCGGCCGCCCGCCGGCGCCGGGGACATCTCGCCGCGCGGGGCCGGGCGGACGGCGCGCGCGCCGACCACTTGCAGCGATGACGCGGCGCGCTGCAGCCGCCGCCCGTGCGCTATCATGAGCCCGTGCACTTGCATCGGACGTCAGTAAACAGAGGCGCCCACTCTCCGGCGAGCTCGGCCGGGCGCCCACTTCCCGCACGGCCCTCTCGACGGACGGACCGCGGCGCTCGCCGCCCGACCCGACCCGAGCCGACCCGGCCCCGCCCCTCGGCCTCGAGCTCGGCGCAGTCTTGGCCGCCTCCGGACGACTGGGACGCACGGTCGAGCGCCGCTCTAGGCCAGGTCACCGCCAGTGTCAGGATGCAGCAGCCCCCGAATCTGCGGCACACCAGGTCTCTGAGAGAGGTTAAGAGCCGGCGGCGGGGCGACGGGCGGCGGAGGTCGGCACGCGGCGCTCGGTGGCCGGCCGGGCGTGGCTGGGGCGCTGGCCGGTGCGGCCACCGCGACACGCGGAGCTCAGAGCCGGTGGGCCGCCCCTGGGAACTGTCGCCGGAGCTGGGGCGGGGCGCCCCGCACCGCGCCGTTTGCCGGCTGCACGCGGCGCGGCGGGTGCTGGCGCCGCCGCCGCCGCCGGCGCCGGTTCGGCCGCGGGCTGGTGCGTGTCCGCCGTGTCGGCAGCAATCGTCGGCCTCTCCGCAGCCTGGGACCTGTCATCTCGGCCGCGCGGGCGCCGGCCACGCCCATGTGTCGCCCCCCCCCCTCTCGCTCGGAAGGGGGGCCGCGTCGCGGTCCGGGGCCGGTCGACACAGAAAGTCGCTCTCAGCGCTGGCGTCCACTCTATTTCTCCGCAGTTGCGGAGTGCCTCGTTGGATCCAAAGTCTGGCTGCCAGCGCCGGTCTCAGCGCCACGGACGGAGTGTGAGTGAACGGGACGGGCTCTGCAGGCCACCGTTCAGCGCGACATGAACTTCACAGCAATCTGGGCGAACCATCGCCAGCAAGGAACGGGCGCAATGCGTCGTGACGACGTGCAAGGTGTTATGTGCAGCATAATTTCACACAGTAGATGAATGTAAATTGCTCTTAAGCCACTTTCGGACTGTTCAATCGCGTAACGAGGGGTGTCCAGCCGCAAGATTACACTTTAAATGCTAGATAGACCATTTAAGCCACGAACAGCGTTGTTTTCCCGGGAGTGTGAAAGTTAGCCTTGGTCGTTTCACTGCAATCGCCTTTGCGGGGCGTCGGCGGACCCTTGAAGCCCTGCCAGTGGCGGGCTCTGGTCTGATAAAGCCTGATAGCCGTCTGTCGTCAACTGAGAGAGCGACTGTAAACAGAGACCGGGTGACGTAACCACTCCAACCTGCCCCCCTCCAACTGGACCACCCGAGCGGCCGGGAGGCGGCCCGCACTGCCCCGCCCCCTCCCCCCGCCACTCCGGCCTCTCCCCGTGAGCCTGTGCGAGTCCGACTATCGAGTGACGTGTTCCGTGGGAAGCTGCGGAACATATGCCGTCCAGACATGCCTCTGTATCAATCGCGCGTTTTCGTCATCAATGTCTCGCCCAAAATAAGGTCCGGCAGGCGGTCCCGCTTCCCGTTACCGCTGATGGGAGTGGCATGCGTCCTGCAGCGCAGCCGCGCGCGCGGACCCTCTCCGTGCACGGCCTCCCCGCCGGACCCGGCTGCAGCCGACCGGCATCTGGCGCCGCTCGTGCGGCCGGCGCCGGGCTGTGCGCGGCGGGCCTGTATGTACCGTTGGGCGGGCGCTGCCCGGCCCGACCTCGGCCTCTCGACGCCGGCCGAGGTTTGACCTCGCCGCAGTGCCCGCCGACTGGGGGTCAGCTCAGCTGGCGGCCGGCCACGCGGCGGACACTCGCTGTGTGTCCGCGGACAGAGGACTCTGCCGTTGTGTCCGGTCGGCGGAGGGCGGACTCTCGCTGTATCCACGAGAGCGGGACAGTCTTATCCGCGACGTACGCCGACGTCTGGCGGACTACGCCACAGGTCCCCACTGCCACGGCTGCGGGCGCGGACCGGAATCGGGCGCCGTCCGTTACACGGCCGCACCTCAGATGTAGCTGCACTGCCGGAAACACCAGGTCTGTCCCGGGGGACCTCCAGCCGCCCCGTGGGATCTCCAGCCACCTCGGGGGACTCCAGCCACCTTGGGGACCTCCAGCCGCCTCGAGGCCCGTCGAGGCGCGGCCGCTGCCGCCGCCGCCGAGGGGGACGGGGGGGGGGGACGGGGGAGGAGCCGTGCCGTGGCGTCATCACGCCGGTATGTGCGGCGCCTCGCGCCGGGCCTAGCGCCCGCATCGTTGATGAGCATTAACTCAAGGCTGACCTGCACCGCGGCCGCCGGAGCCGCCGTGCCGTTGCTGTGCCGCGCCGTGCCGGGTCCGCCGTGTTGCAGCGTTGTTTGCGGACGACGTGACCCCCCCCCCCGTGCCCTCACATTCAGTGTCACATTGCAACGCAGCGTGCAGGGCGGTGAGCGTAGTTTAAGCTGTCACAACGCGACCAACGCGCGGAGGCAGAGAGAAAAAGTGGGAGGTGTGGGGTTGCTATGGGCGCAAAAATGTGCCCCGTACCGCGGTCTGTATAGCCGGGTTTAGAGAGCGGTGGTATAAGCCGTGCTTTTTGTGGAAAAGACCGATGAGCCACGATTTATGCAGAGAACAGGACGCCGCCTATCCCCGCTGGATCCGGCTACGCCCGATGACCAGCGGCCATGTGGTCGACGAGCTCTGTCAGCGATGCGCTCGGTCAGCCGTCGGTCTGTCCCCGCTCCGTCCGTCGTGCATTCCAGGACCTGGCCGCGATGACGAGCGATTGTGGTGGTATTTACCGGAGGCCCGCGGTGGTGACGGCCGCGACCGCGCCTCCTCTTTGCACGACCCACTTCCGCGCGGTCGGTGCGCCTGTCCGCCCCTGGCTTCCCGGTTGCACCGACCGGCGGCGGCTGCAAGGGAGCTGAGCTCAGCACCCAGTCTGGGTCAAGCCGAGCTCGAGTCGAGCCGCCGTCGGCCCGGCCGAGTCAGGTCTGAGTCGAGCCGCCGTCGGCCCGGGTCGGGTCGAGTCGAGTCGAGTCGAGTCGAGTCGAGTCGGTGTCGGCCCGGTCGAGCCGAGCTCG